TCCGCTTCCTTGCTCAAGGCAAGCGCGGAGACTCCGATCCGCCTTGCTGGCCGTTGTGTTTCATTATTTGACACTACGCTCTCACCAAGCCCAGGCTAAAGAAAGTTATAAACTTCAGTTATCGTAATCTTGTTACGTCAAAACACAATGTAATGCCTATTAACGTCACCGTGCGTTTCACTTGCCATTTTTCATAGTCGGTACAATGGCGTCGGAGCAAAATCTCAAATAACGATTATATAACGGCGTGCCAAGTCGCCGTGACAGTCAATGAAGCTGGCTGTCGAGAGATATATACGTTTGCGTATAGGAAATTTGAGATAAGACGAAATCAGCTGCGTCGAGAGTAAAATCGAGAACCAATATGCGAGAGATTCAGCAACCGTTGGAGGATCCGTCTATCTGTTCTTCCTCTTCTTCGGGGGGGATCGCGTATAGTAATCCGAGCTGGCAATACCACTTCTAGAATGAAACACCCTCCACCTTCTATATTTTCACGAGGGGACGAGGATGCGAGAGCGGTTCGCGCGCATGCACGCGTCGGTTTCTCCGACTTCCTGCCATCCTGTGCCGTGCTTCCGCTATTTCACATTATGTTATATGCATCCTCGTCACCCGGGAATCCCTATTAAGAAGACGCATCTGCGCGCGATCCGAAGCGATTCCACCGCCGCCGGCCGCCGCCGCTTGCTTACGAGGGGCACCGCGCGGCGCCCGAGACGACATGGTAGACAGATGCTGGACCGAGCAACCCCTTATTTGACGCTGCGAAATGAAGGAAATGTACAATACGCCCCCCCCCCCTCCTCTCGCAGCGAGCCTGCTATCATTCGGTTGTTCTCTGAAAGTGCAATCGGAAACTCGAAACCTGGCGCGATTGGAAAATGAAACGGGCCCAAGGCCCAAATAATCAATTCCCTCTTGGAGAACACGAAAAGATGTGAAGTTAAAGTAGAGAAGTATTTTGTCTGTAAATATTTAAATTCTATTTTTATGCTAAATTTAGAGGGAGTAAAACGCCGAGTAAAATTGTTCATTGTGTATTTCTCCGAGCGTTCTCCAAAACGTATCGCCGCGCCGGTCGGATTTTAAGTTCCGTGAAGGCGGCGAGTGAGCTACCGAGGCGTGTTTCCGTTTCCTCGAGGCTATGGCCGGATTCGCGAGATCGCAGAGGGCACGTGAGCTGCTACGTCGATTCACTGACGTTGAAAATCTCCGACGTGAAGGAGAGAGAGAGAGAGAGAAAACACCACACTTGCACGAAAATGTCTCGCCTCGATAAGTATCAAATTAAGCGTCCAAAGATATATTTTGTATTTTTCGTCCGATCATTTAAATATTCGCACGACTCACTCGTGCGTTACCCACAGAGCTCAGATTTTATCATATACTTGCGATAAACGGTGACAAAATACATTTTTTCCTTTTCAAAACGGGAAGAACGGATGGGTCAAGATTTTTCTGTCAAAAAAAAATTTTTTTTTTTTTTGACAGCGTCGTTTTCGGCCAGGGACTTTTCTTTGCACCCGCGTTCCTGAAATTCACGCGTCTATGCGTTTGCGGTCAACGAGGTGTATTATCATCGTCGTACAGCGACGCGGCGAAGAAAGGACGTGGTTGCCGCGCGCGCGCGCAAGCGAGCGAGCGAGCGAGCGAGCGCGAGCGAGCGAGCGCGAGCGAGCTCCCGCGGCCACGCGTGCATATAAATAGCCGCATATGGGCCGCCTCGTGCGTGCGTGCGCGCGCGTGTGCAAAGTAACAATGTGCGTGTACAGGAAAGGGGGGGAGGGGGATATAATGAGAGACGGGCGGGGAATTAATTGAGGTGGCGATGTAAGAAGCATACTTTTGGACGTGTCTGGCGTCTCGTAATTATTTCTCTCTTACGGAACTGCTAGGTTGTTGTAATTAAATCGTTAAATCGCTCGCGGGAATGAAAGGCCCGAGTTACGTTTGTCGCGTATACGTACGCGATTGTAACAGAACTGCTTGTCATACAAGAGAAATATAATAGGCTGTCTATATTTTATTATTGTCTCTCGACGTATAATTACGTAAAGTTATTACATCGTAAACTGATCGTTTCCGTCGTAACTTCAAACGGACGGCTTCCGTATCTCGAGAAATATCTTTCCGTCGTCAATCTATTGTGTACATTATTGAATTTCGATGAATGAAGGCGCGGGCACACGCGCGGCGCCCGCGCGTAATCGTTTACGCGCGCGCGCGAGAGAGAGAGAGAGAGAGAGAGAGAGAGAGAGAGAGAGAGAGACAGAGAGAGAGACCGTCAGGGAGTACCCGATGAAAAGGATTTGCGAAAGAAAACCGCGGCCACGGTGCCGTGGGCATATTTCCCATCCGCACGAGAGAGAGAGAGAGAGAGAGAGAGAATACCGAGCCTCCCGGCTCGTTTCCTACCTTCCCCCGCCGCGAATGAGACGCCCGCGACACGCGTACACGAGTCAGTCGCGAGCGGGAGGAACGTCACGTCAAATCCGCGCGGCGTATATGACGAACCCCTTTTTTGTGTCTCGAAAATCGCGGTTGCGCGGATCCGCGTTTTGATTCGATTTTCCACGCACATTTTACTCATACCGAACACACATTCGCGCCTTTGCAGAAAACAATTGTCACGTCCAGAGGCGTCTGGACTATATATCCCGTTAACTGTTGGGAACAATGGCTGACAAAGTGACATCGCGACGCCGTTGTCGAGGGTCATTGTTTCTCTGGCGAACAGTTTTATTTCTCTTTCTCTTTCTCTTTTTTTTTTTCCTGACGCGTTTACGTAATTCTTTTGTAAGCGCGAAATCGATAGGGCAGATAACGGCGAAGGAATAAAGTAGCAGCAGTTTTTATCCGGCACTGTCGCATAACGGCGTCGCGTCCGCACTTCGCAAGGGTGCATAATATTGCATGTCGGATGCACCTTGCGCGCGAATGCCGCAACCTGTCGGCGAAATTTGAGTTATCGACGATGGGGTCGCAGTGAATACGAGTCATTTACGCGTCGTAACCGGCATACAAAGCCAGACGAGGGAGAGAAGGGGGAAGGGAGTGCGAGGTCATCGATATGAAGGGATTGCACCTTTGCCAACACGTATTTAGCAGCAAGTGTTTTCATTGCAGTTATTTTTCTTTCTCTCCTAAGTACCAATCGACACACTTTTGTATTAGCTTTTATATTGTATTATAGCTTTAAAATTATATTAGCTCCGCGTGTGCCATTAAAAAAGTTTTTATCGCGCCGATGACGCCGGAAATGAAGAGCATCGAATTCTCGCGAGTATCCGTTGTACCGATCGGCGAGACTTCGATTTCATCTCGTCAATTCGATACAGATCCAATTCCCCCCTCCCTTCTCCCAGGCCATAACGATGTTTCTTTTCGCGCGTAAGTCGATTCGGTGTCTCCTTCGCGCAAATTGAATTTCACCCGGTAAAAAAAGATAGTTCATCTCTCTCGAAGGATCGCGCTCTTCTCTTTCGATACAGAGTACTTCTTTTTTACAGCGCGATCGCTTTTATAATTCGATCGTTACTTAAAAAAAAAACCTCTGATTAATAAATCATTTCTGTATCGTTTCTGAAAGTGCCCGCATGGAAATTAAACGAAGCATCGGACGCAAGGGATTGAACGAATTTCGTGGTCTACGCGCGTGACGGATTAAAGGTATATGGGTACCTGTATAAAGTTCTTTCACGTGTGACGCCGTCGTGCCACGAATATCATTTTTCTTCCCTTTTTATTTGTCATTATGTAATTTGTAGTTCGCGCGCGGCGATCTCGGTCCGCGCGTCGTCATGGGATGAGAGGCGCATCTCGAATCCCATGGAAACACGATCTTTCTCTCGATACGCTTCGAGCTGCGCGCATTTCCAAGTCGGCAGCCAAAACGACATCTTTGCAATGTGCGCTCGTGGATTTATTACTTACTATACGATTCGTTAGAGGTAAATTATAATTTATCAAGTCGTAAAGTTAAAAAGTGACAGCGGTTTAATTTTCACGTTTCAAGTTTTCAATCAAAACGATAATAGATCTTATAGAAGGCTTTCTCGATTAAATTGTTACACGATCGGGGGTCCTTCCTTTTGCTAATCATTCTACATTCATTTGTGAAACAATTTCAGAATAGAATTGTATTCCTAAAATTTCATGGGAAAAGAGAATCGTGCGAACCAACGTTGACGGTGCCAGTCTAGAGGTCGAAATTAATGGCGAGGAGTCGTAGTCCTCTCTTCCAGTCGGCGATCGCTTCGTATGTCCTAACTCCGGGCGGCGATGTATCCCCGGTCTCGCGCGTTGGGGTGGCCGGGTGCACCGCGGCCAGGTAAGGGGCAGCTGTCCACCAGGTGCCAATCCATCCCTCCATGCGCCTCCACCTTCGGAACGGTGGGGATCCGCCCGGTCTCATTGGATGCCGGCTCGCGCGCGTTGCGGCAATACTCTCGCGCTCAGCGACAGAAAACAGTCAGTCGTCCCAGGGCGCTCGACGGGGCCACGCAGGCGATCTGCGATCCACGCGCTAGATCGCCCCACTCGTCGTCGTGACACGCGGTCTTGTTCGCAGTCCCTTTTCCTCTCTCTTTCTTTGTCTTGGGGTTTAGGGGTTTGCACCAGTGATCGCGGCGTCCATTCATTAGACACGTCGCCGAACGAATGATAGTCGCGTCAGGAAAGGATTACGGAGTCACGTTTCAGCATCACGTCGGTCGTTTTCCTCATCAGGTTCTCTTCGTTTTTAGGATTAGTTTTCACGACTTCGATCGGTCGAGAGTAGTGTTGTGAAAGAGAGCGGTGGGAGAGAGTAATCTCGCCTTTTCGCGGTCAGTGTCCGAAAGTGCGATCGTCAAAGTGAGCTTCCATCGGAAGTAGATCCGTCGCATCTCGATTCCGCGCGGCCGTTTGTTTTTTTCCCCCCTCATTTCCCATCTCCACTTCTGCACACCTGTAGTCGCGGATTTTTCGCGCCTGACACTCTCTCGCGGGTGCTGTACGGCCACATTTATGGGGGTGTCCGGCGAGTGCGCGGTCAAGGGCAGCAAAAGCAGCCACCCCTGTCACTGCTGCGGCCACGTCGGCAGTTCCGGCGCGAGCGTGCAACAGCCGCAGCAACAGCAGCAGCAGCAGCAGCAGCAACCCTGCGAGCCGTATCATCACCACCATCACCAGCACCACCATCATCACCATCATCATCACCATCACGGCAAGAACGCACCGCCGAACGCGTCGCCGCAGCACAACAACAGCGGCGACAACAACATCCTGGCGCCGTTGCGCAGCAAGATGAAAGTGCTCAAGAAGCTCAAGCGCAAGATGGGTCTAGGTGAGCCGCACCTCCGTCACTTCCTCATTGTCTTTCTGATGCTTTCCGGTCACTGCTCGGCCGATCATGCGACTAATCGATCGATCACGAACGCTGTTCCGCGAGACTTGTCCGATTTTGCCGGTCAACGACATTCGGACAGGCTTCCTTCGTGAATGAGAGTCGACGGGACAGAATGTATCCAATTCGTAGGTAAACCGACGGTCGAATTCGCCAACTTTTGATTTCACGGTATCTGTCTATTTACAGACTTTAAATTCTAGAATTTGATTGCGAAAAAGATTGCGTCCCTTCCCCTCCTCACATACACACACTTTCATCGTTGTTACATTGTAGAATATTAGTCAGTGTACCATGCATCGTACGCCCATTGCCGAAAGCTCTTGCCAAGCGATCTACATTCAAATTGTCGTTGTAAAATTGAATTTATCGAGCGCCCCGTTGAATACTGCTGAAACCGAGCGGTGAACTCTCGTCATCGAGGAACGAATCTCTTAACTCTAAAACGGCGGTATAGAACGAGCGGGGAAACAATTTGGCTTTTATTCCCTGCGGTCCGTCGGCGGTTTATCGTATCGCGAGTCCAATAATTGTTGACGACGCATCTACTATCTCTAACTTTTCGCTATATTTCGGGAGAAGTTTAACTATCACATTTCGACGATTTATTTAGGAAGGTATATTTGTGTTGAATGGCGATTTTAAATTTTTAAATAAAAAATTAATACCACGTTTTGTACTGATGGGGGAGCTATTTATTTAATTTGTGGATAGAACGAAATTATTTCAAAGGGAAGAGTGGAGTTTCAATTCAAAATTTGTTATTGATGTCGCACGTGTAGATTTGTAGAGCGATCGATTCATGATACGTGATAGATACCAAGCTGACACAGTAGAAGTTGATCGAAAATTAACTGGCCGCGAAGCGGCTTCGTCTTCTACGACTGTCCCGATTTCAGCATGTCGTCGGGCTCATTTCCATCGTGCATTCAATAAAAGCTCATTTCGCGGCGAGCTTATGGCCTGTGCTGTGTTTCACGTTGACCGACTTTTCTCTCAATGGACGATCCGCTGGATTCCACGAGGCAGCCGCGGCACGAGGAGGCCAGATAGCTTCTCATTGGCCTGTTCCTCGCCTTCGTCTCGCTTCCAACATCCCGGCAACGTTCTCATCAGATATCCTTCCTCCGCGATCCTGTCTTTCGCGAATGCGGTATTGTCGACGACAGTCTCTCACAAAGTAACTGGAAACTACTCCTCAACCCCTTTGCTCGCGCAACTTTTGTCCTCGATACCCATTGCGCCCACTCCCTTCTTTATCTTCCGCGTGTTCAGCGTCTTGTCACAGAATTTCGAGCGCGATGACGACCGAGGCAGAAGCAACGTCGCCAAAGATGTATTTAATTGCAATTTTTTTACGATTAATTTTTTAGAAGGATTGAATTAGAAATCTGTAAACACTAATAATACGTGAAAAAATAAATTACTGCTCTTAATTAATAATTCATGATTATATATATATACACATTATCTTTAACATAATTTATACGTCTAATTAATAATATTATATATGAATATGTATGATAATGTGCATATGAATACGTGTGATAACACTTGAGAGATATTTGTGATACTTTTTGTACGCAATACGATTGCAAGAAAAGGTTTTTGTTTGTGGCTACATTCTCATTGATCTCTGTACATTCCGATGTAATCTGATGGCCGAGATCTTTTAATGCTACTCGTATTTCTCGACGGGATTTGTAATGCACAGTTCTTTACTTATGAGACAAAGCGTCAGTTGTTGTCGATTGAAATCGAGGTTAAAGGTTACGAGTGGAATTTACGAGTAGAATTGGAGTGGAGTGTAGTAAAGTAAGGAGAAAGAGTGGTTTTTCCTTAGGTGATAAATTTTACGTGTTAACGACTCCTCCACCGGGAGGTTTCTAGGGACCAACGCAATGCGAGCCCTTTGTGGGAGGGCTTTGAACCGTTGAAGATTTGTGAAAGGGACGGATTCTTGCGCTACTGCGGCTTTATATCAGGGAGGCAATTGTTTTCAACCAATTCTTGCGTAGCTTGAATTATCTATTATCATATCAATTGAGAAATAACATAATACGACTATATTACTATAAAGCTGTCCTAATCTTCAAGTTTATAATTTTTTTAATCTAATAGGAGTAAAAATTTCGCAAAGTTGTGCATTTAAAAACGCGTTTACACATTTCGCGAAGTATAATGTGAATTAAATAAGAATCAATATGCAATATTTCGCAATTATCTAGGTCTTATCTTTGCGATCACCGCAAAATTATATTAATTTTTTTTTTCAAGAATAATTTTTCTGGAGCTACGATTGTTCGATCAATCTTTTTCTATTTCTAAGAGTTTTTTTTACCTTTAGTTCTCTTCTTTCTCTTTCTCGTTTTCAATCAAAGTAAACTAGAGCGAACAGCTGACGCCAATCACCTTGAAATTTCGAAGTTATCTTGGTGGTTGCTATGCATAAAACGTTTGGTTTAATTAATAAGCATATTTAAATATTCAGTAGATTGCTCGTTATCTGTATATATCTTATTACGACATACGAGAATTTTACTGAGAGAGAAAGAGAGAGAGAGAAGGGGAGGGGAGGAAGATTAAGAGAGGGAAGAGATGAGAATAAAAAAAGAAACGAAAGAGAAGAAAGACATTCCCTCGGGATAGAACACTTTTTTTGTCGCGATCATCGTCGTGGAATAAGCGAAATGAAGAAAGTAAGTCATCGTGTTGCTTCTGGGATACCACTCTGCTCTTCCTTCTTTATCTCTCCTTTTTCCCCCTTTTTTTTGCGACTCGGTGAATCACTCGTTTCTCGGTTGCGGAGATTCTCAGCCTCTTTACTTTCTCATCCTCATCGCAACTCCCTTTTCCCCCCTCTCTCTCTTAATGACCGCGGCTGAGATACGTCTCTCCTTCTCGCGTCTTTGTAACCAGTTTGTTCTTACAATTCCATCTCGTATTCTTTCTTTTTCCCCCCGCAATCGGGATATATCGTGTTGTCCGATCATCGACGTGCTAAGGAGAAAAAAAGATTCTTAACCTCGGAGGATTTTTTACGTCCAGTCGATCGTGCGATCGAGAAATGCCGGTCATGACTGGACTGGAAGTTGATTTACCTGTTCGAGGAAAGGGTCCTTTTTCCTCTTTCGCTAGTGGATCTGAGTCACTGAAAGCGATTGGTGACGCATTAAGTTGCCGGCCGTGACGAAATGTTGTTGCAATGCAAATTGCATAATGCTGCGTTCGCGCGTGCATACAAACAATGTACCACCTGCGTCGGATATGATTCAAGGATTCAGAGTTTCCCATAAGTTTCACTTTGTCACATCCATCGAGATCCCGAGATCTTCAGCTATTAACATACTTTCGAATCCATTATATAAATATTCAAACCTTGATTTATCGATTTATTTAACATTTAATGAGGGAGCTAATCAACGTATCATATACGTCCTTGGAATCTGACGTCTCCGATCTTTAATTAACTTATTTACAACGTAACTCGACGAATAAATAATTCATCAGCGGCACACGCGCGCATGCACCCGCGCATGGAGTTCTGCTAAAGCAATTACTAGCGTCGCGGAGATCTCTCTTCTGGTATCTCTCTATTACTTGGAAATGAAATTTCTTACGGTTTCCGCGTGTCTTTCCCGAGTCCCTCTTTCCGGAGTCAGGCGAATCTCGCGAGTCGTCGTCTCGTGAAAGAAGATTCAGCCCATCAAGGGAGCGATCACTGACCGTCCTCACTGACTCGACAACCTCACACACCCACCCACCCACTTTCCGCTTCGCCGTGTGACGTCAGAGAGCGAGCCGCGGACGGAACCCGTCTTTGTTCCCACAAGCGTTTCGCGAACCGGTTTTGCGGTTCATGATGCCGCGTTAGTGTTCCTGTCAGCTGGCCGGACCGTTTAATCGGGGAATTCTCCGCCTATTTTCAGGGTTCGGCGGCCGTATCCTCGGGGAGTCGGTCCTTTCCGAGAAACGTCCATTCATCCTTCCTTCCTAACGCCTGTAAGTTGTAATGATAACGCCGGCATCCTCGTGATAAGCGTATTAAAAATCATAACTGCAGCGCATTTACCGCATCTTTATCTCGACAGGATATCCACGTAAATAAATATATAGGGATATGTACGCAGTCCGCTTGAGTTCAGCGAACTTAAAGTGGATCAATCGAAAACGAAGTTATTTTTTAAATATAGATACACCGCGTGAACTCGTCAATTTTTGGCTGAATAAAATGCTATTATTTTTGTTTTATTTAAAATTCTATTGGTCAACTAAGATATCTGCAAAATAAGAATCGCTATCTCGCTCGGGGTATCCTACTTGTCTCCGCAATTGCACCTTGTCCGTTCACGCTGACCGATCCGTGACGTTCTCCGGAAAGATAATTTCGACAGGGTATCGCCCGCAACATCCGGCTGGCGGGCACGTCGTGAGCGGAAGCGAGCGAGCTTCAAGGACGGAAGTCGACATCGATAGCACAATGGAGCCGAGAGTTCTGTTTTCCTGGATCGGGCTCACCCGTGAACGGCTTTTTGTCCGAGACGGAAACGCGCCGCGCATGTCGATCAAAAGACCTGCCACGTCTCAATTCTACATTTCACCCGAGTCCCCCGGATAACAATTGCGAACTCGGGCGCGTCGGCGGAACGAGATCCCGCCGATTTTCCGCGCGAGTCCGCTTCGCGCTCCTCCGCTCCCGCGCGCCGCTTTGCGGAGGAGATGGCAATCCCGCGAGACGCGAACGTGGAAAGTGGACCTTCCTTTGCGGAAGCAAGGTGCGTGAACACCCCACACACGTGGGTGTACGCAGCGCGTGCACCGGAAGCGGTGCCTCGCAAGTAAACTCGCGCGCCTGTATCTCGAGCCCGGCTGCGTGAAAATTCGTAAGGTCACCCCGCCGTGACGCGATTCGTTCTGAGCCACATTCGTCTCGTCTTACG